GCCGTTGCAGTGGTATGGTCACATTGGCATTCCCAGGGGCTGGCTGGCACCTGGCCATTGCTTGGTGAGACCCTCCCCCAGAGGGTCGGAGTGGGTTCAAGCCACAGGGCCCTCAGAAGTGAGGGATTTGGAAACACAGCCCCATCTCAGATAAAATTTGGGAGGAAAGTGCCACTTGGCTGGCTGACAGCTTGGTCATGGATAGTGTAGAAGTGGGCAGGAGTGGACAGAAGCTGGACACAAAGGAGGGGTTCTTGATTGCTGGTGGGTGAGAGCACAGAGTTCTGATGCTAGAGACAGAGAAGCTGGGTGACATCATTTTCACCTCTTCTATGCATGTGCATACATCCATACATGTGCCACAATTATCCACCCCAGTAAACTAACCAGAGCCAACTAGTGGAGAACAGAGCCATTACACCACGCCCCGTCCAACTGCACCAACCAAGCCCCAGAGGACCACCACCAGTTTCTCTGACTGCTTAGTTTATTGACTATGAAGTGCTTCATAGTTTGAATTCGAGGGGGAAACTGGATGTAATTTCATCTGGATTTCATTCTGTCCACTGGTCCACCTATGATTTTTTTTTTCTTTTCTTAGTCTTGAATACAGAAAGAGAAAATTTTATTTTCACTTTCCATTTTTGTAAAAGATGTTTTTTTTAATTTCTATATGACATTTATTATTTTTTGTAAATTTCTTTAGTCTATTTTATTTTCTTCATTTCATTTTATTCTGTTTTTTTTTGGTATACATTTCTTAATTTTTATAGAGTTTTAAATGTTTATTTTTGAGAGAGAGAGACACACACAGAGTTTGAGTAGGGGAGGGGCTGAGAGAGAGGGAGACACAGAATCTGAATAAGGGTCCAGGCTCTGAACTATTAGCACAGAGCCTGACACAGGGCTCAAACCTACGAACAGTGAGATCATGACCTGAGCCAAAGTCAGACGCTTAACCAACTGAGCCACCCAGGTGTTACACATTTTTTAAAAAAATTAAATGTTTTCTTACTTTTTTATTTTCCCTTTTTTCTTTTCTTTCTCTTTTTTTTTCTCTATTCTATCAGGCTTCTTTCAACTACCACACCAAAACACACCTAGAATTTAGGTTCCTTTATTTGATCTTTTGTGTACATTGTTTAAAATTTTTTTAATTTAATTTTTTATTTTATTAATTCTTTTCTTTCTTCAAGATGACAAAATGAAGGAATTCAACCCAAAAGAAAGAACAGGAAGAAATGACAGCCAGGGAATTATCAACAGATATAAGCAAGATATCTGAATCACAGTTTAGAATCAAGATAATAAGAATACTAGCTGGGGTTGAAAAAAGCACGCAGTCACTTTCTATGGACATGAAATAAGTAAAATCTATTTAGGACGAAATTAAAATGCCATAACTGAGATGCAATCTCAAATGTATGCCACGGCAGCAAGGACGGATGAAGCAGAGCAGGGAATCAGCGATATAGAACTCAAACTTACTGAGAATTATGAAGCATAAATAAAGAGGGAAACTAAGGCAAAAGAACATGACATAAGAATTAGAGAACTCAGTGACTCTTTAAAAAGGAATAAGGTCCAAATCATAGGGGTCCCAGAAGATGAAGAGAGAGAAAACGGGTAGAAGCTTATTGTGAACAAATCATAGTGGAAAACTTTCCTAACCTGGGAAAAGACACAGACATCAAAATCCAGGAAGCACAGAGAGCTCCTGTGAGATTCAACAAAAACCAACCATTAACAAGGCATATCATAGTCAAATTCACAAAACACACAGACAAGGAAAGAATTATGAAAGCAGGAAGGGAAAAGACCTTCTTAACCTACAAGGGAAGACAGATCAGGTCTGTAGCAGACCTATCCATAGAAACTTGGCAGGCCAGAAAGGAGTGGCAGGATATATTCAATGTGCTGAATTGGAAAAATATGCAGCTAAGCATTCTTTATCCAGCAAGGCTGTCATTCAAAATAGAAGGAGAGATAAAGAGTTTCCCAGACAAACATAAACTAAAGGAGTTCATGACCACTAAACCAGCCGTGCAAGAAATTTTAAGGGAGACTCTCTGAGGGGAGAAAAGATGGCGGGGGGGGGGGGAGACCAAAAGGAACAAAGACTAGAAAGGACCAGAGAACACCACCAGAAAGGACTCCAACTCTACAGGCAACATAATGGCAATAAATTCATATCTTTCAGTACTCTAAACATCAATGGACAAAAGGCCCCAATCAAAAGACATAGGGTAACAGAATGGATAAGAAAATAAGATCTATCTATATGCTGTTTACAAGAGACCTGTTTTAGACCTAAAGACACCTTCAGATTGAAATTAAGGTAATGGAGAACCAGCTCTCATACTAATGATTACTAAAAGAGATCTAGAGTAGCCATACTTATATCAGAAAATCTAGATTTTAAAATAAAGATTGTAATAAGAGATGAAGAGGGGGATTACATCATAATCAAGGGGTCTATCCACCAAGAAGACCTAACAATTTATGCCCCCAACATGGAAGTTCCCAAATATATAAGTCAATTAATCACAAAGATAAAGAAACTCATTGACAATAATACCATAATAATAGGGGACTTCAACAACCCACTGACAGCAATGGAAGTATTTGGTTCTTTACCTTTTTCTTTTTGATCAAACTGCCTAGGGGTTTATCAATTTTGTTAATTCTTTAAAAGAACCAACTCCTGGTTTCATTGATCTGTTCTACTGTTTTTCTTCTTGTTTTTTTTTCCCCGAATAAAGATTGATTTCCACTCTGAACTTTATTATTTCCTGTTTTCTGTTGGTTTTAGGTTTTATTTGCTGTTCTTTGTCCAGATCTTTATGGTGTAAGATTAAGTTGTGATTCTGAGACCTTTCTTCTTTCTTTATGAAAGCCTGGATTGCTATATACTTCCCCCTTCTGACCACCTTTGCTGCATCCCAGAAGTTTTGGGCTGAAAGGTTTTTCATCTAAGCAGAAAATCAACATGGAAACAATGGCTTTGAATGACACATTGGACTGGATGGACTTAACAGACATATTTAGAATATTTCTTCCTAAAACAGCAGAATACACATTCTTCTCAAGTGCACATTGAGAACATTCTCCAGAACAGATCACATATTGGGACACAAATCAGCCCTCAACAAGTACAAAAAAAATCAAGATCATCCCGTGCATATTTTCAGACTACAAAACTATGAAACTTGAATCAACCACAAATAAAGTTTGGAAAGACAGTAAATACTTGGAGACTAAAGAACATCCTCCTCAAGAACGAATGGGTTAATCAAGAAGTTAAAGAGGAAATTAAAAACACATGGAAGTCAAAGAAAATGATAACACCACAGCCCAAAGCCTCTGCAATGCAGAAAAGGTGGTCATAAGACAGAAGTATATAGCAATTCAGGGCTTCCAACAGACACACGAAAAAAATGCTCAACATCACTCACCAGCAGGGAGATACAAATCAAAACCACAATGAAATACCACCTCATGCCAGTCAGAATGGCTAAAATAACAACTCAGGCAATAACAGATGTTGGTGAGGATGCAGAGAAAGTCGAACAGCACTATCAACAAGAGCCAAAGTATGGAAAGAGCCCAAGCAGGCTCCAGACCCCAAGCTGTCAGCATAGAGCCCAATGCAGTCCTGAAACTCACAAACCGAGAGATCATGTCCTGAGCCGAAGGTGGATCCTGAACTGATTAAGCCACTCAGGTGCCCTGGTTTTTATCATGTATTAATGTGGTGTATCATGTTGATTGATTTGTAAATATTGAACCACCCTTGCAGCCCAGGAATAAGTCCCACTTAATCATTGTGAATGATTCATTTGATTTACTGTTGGATTTGATTTCCTAGTATTTTGTTGAGAAATTTTGCATTCATGTTCATCAGGGATATTGGCCTGTAGTTCTCTTTTTTAGTGAAGTCTATCCGGTTTTGGAATGTATTTCAAATAATAAAATTAAAATCTAAATGGTAAAAAGTGTGCTCTCATGTAAGTATTATCATTATTACCTATGCAGCTACTTGCTGAATGAGACTCAGTATTTGGACAAATATCCTAAGTTACCTTGTAGAGAGCTGTCTCTGATTTGCCCTCCTTCGAAAGGGTTTGTGACTTGTGATGATGCTGATGACGATAATGGCTCTTTTTAAAATATATATATATTTATTATTTTGAGAGAGAGAGCGCGCGCACAGGAAAGGGGCAGAGAGAGGGAGACGACCTGAGCCAAAACCAAGAGTCCCACGCTTAACCCACTGACCAACCGGGCGCCCCTATAACCACCTGTAAGTATTCAGCAGGAAGCACACGCTGGGCCCCGTTATTTACCAGGAGTCCCTTTTCTCAGGCTGGCTTCCCCAGGACGGCTTGTTCACACGCAGAACGCCCCACCCGCAAAATTTCTGAATACCTAGGTTTGGGTTGTTGCCCCAAACTAGGATTTTTAAGAAACTCCCAGATGATGGTGACGCTGGTCTGAGAAGCACTGAATTAGAACTACATTTAAGGTTAGTACAGAGACCAGATCAGGTGTTCCCTTCAATCGTCAGTGTGAACCTGGGCCCCTACTGGAATGTCTGAGAAGTGCCGGGCCTGCCTCTGCCCCGCACGCTTAAATCGGTAACCTGTGAGAGACGCCTGAAGGCGACTGGGACTTGGCTTCAGAAAGACAGAGAAGTCTGGGGACAGCCCCGTTAAGAGGAAAAGCTCGCGCACTGCTGTCACGGAGAACCAGCAGGAACCAGCGAGAAGCAGGTAACCCGAGCGCGCGCCAGCAACCCCCCTCCAGCACCGCCCCCTGAACCGAAACCCCCACTCAAAGCCACTCCCTCGCACCACACCCCCAGGGTCCCCGAAGGGCGGCCCCAGCACCGCCTCTCGGAAGGCCCTCAGCTCCACACCACCACCCTGCACCGCCTCCATCACCGCCCTCTCGCACCGACTCCCCCCCCCCAAATAGCACTCTCCTCGCACCACCCCCAGAACCAACCCGAGCACCCCGCCCCTCGCTCCGCCCCCACACTCCCGCCCTCCCCACAATTACTGCCCCTCTCGAAAGACTCACCTCAGTGACGTCACCTCGTCCCACCCCCCCAGCACTACCCCCAGCTCCACCACCCCGCGCACCGCCCCGCCGCCACACCCAAGCCCCTCCTCTAGCACTACCCCTCCCAGCACCACCCCCTCGCACAGCCCCCCTTGCCACCCCCAAGCACCGCCCCCGCCCCACTCCCAATCACCGCCCCCGCCCCACTTCCCAGCACCGCCCGCCGGCCTCGTCCCCAGAACCACGGCCCTTGCTCCGCCCCCAGCTCCGCCCCTTAGAATCCCCCACCTCGCGTTCTCCCCAGTATCGCCACTCTCACCGCCCCCAGCACAGCCTCCCACAACCGCCCCGAATGCACCTGCTCCTGCACCAACCCCAGCATCTCTTCCTCCCACCGCCCCACTCCTTGAGCGTCCTCCAGCACCGCCGGCCCCGCGTTCTCCCAGTACAGCCCCCGGCGCTTTCCCTCGCACCCCCGTAGCAACTCCCCAGCTCCTCCCCCTCGCACACCCCTAGCACCGCCCAGCTCCTCCCCCTCGGATCCCATCAGAACCGCCCCCTCGCACCGCCCCCAGCACCGCCCCCCGCGCTCTCCCAGCACCGCCCTCAGCACCGCCCTCAGCACCACCCCAGCACCGCCCCCTCGCACCGCCCCCACACCATCGCAGCTCCGCCCCGTCGCACAGCCCTCCAGCGGGGCAGGGCCGGGTGTGGGCGGGATGAGAAACGCAGGGCCTATAGGCTGAGTCAGGAGTCCGCGCCTTGCCGCCGGGCCAATGACAGCTCTTGAGCTCGGCGCCGCTTCGGGCCGGAACTTCCTGCGTTCCGGGCCAGCCAGTCCTAGCTGGGGTCGACTGTGCGTCCCCACGTCACTCGCGGCTTTTCCCGAACTGGGGGCCCGGCACCCTGCTCCTTGCAGCGCGCCTGAGACCCGGGTCCCCTCGGTCCCGCCCTGACCTGCGCCCCGCGTGCCTGCGCTAGCCGGGAGCCTGAGGGCCCGCCGCATCTAGTACCAGGCGAGGCGGGGAACCTGGGGGGTCACTCGTCTCTGGCGGCTCCGCTGCAAGACTCGGTCCCGATGGCGGAGGCGGTGGCGCTCAGGGACCCGGCGCAGGTGAGTGCGTGCTCGCTTGCCCCGCACCTGGATCGCGGAGGTGGGCCTTGTCTGTCTTCTGTCCTCTCCCACCTCTCTAAGGCTTTTGAGTCGGGGCGCTGGAGGAGAGCCACACCCTGCCTGCGGTGCTGAATCCAGGCCGGCGATTATACAGAGCGCTTTCCATTTCCTAATTCGCAGGAGGCTGGGTTTCCAAGGCAGGGACGGTATCGGCGTGTACACAAGGCGGTGAGAATGACCTGAGTGTTCGGAGAGCAGGTGGGAGACAGTGAGCCCCGGAATAGCGGATTGAGGAGCTTGGCCTCTATTCTGATGGTGTTGGGGGCCACAGACGGTTTAGAGTAAAAGAGGAGACACCTGACTGGGTCCTGACAGTCTCCCCTGTGGATGCAGAGTGGAAAATTGACTTGGGGTAAGGGTGGAAGCAGGGAGACTGAGGAACCTAAGTTTCGTCATTTTGAGATTAAGGCCTCCATTAAGAGCAACCTTGGGTGCTCATAGCCCCAGTTCCATGAAAAGCCTCAGATTGCTCAAGGCTGAAGCCACACTTGGACCACCCTCAGATCAGCCAATCAAAAGAAATGTGTAACATTCCTGTGGTCTGAGTCAGGGCTGGTAACTGCAGACAGTTATTTTATACAAACTAGCCAATCACTCATCGCTTGCCTAAATCCCAGTAGGCCCTTTGAGCTCATGTCATAATTGGTCATTTTCAAAGGATTCTCAGAGGTCATGATTGGGTCCCACCAAAAGTAATGGACACCTCACAGATACTGAATGGTCAAAACTGTTAACATGGGTGCTGTACAATTGTAACTGGAGCCTATGTGATGATGCTCTACCCACAACGTGTGCACCGTAACACCCCCGTCCCTTACCCCATAAAAACCCTGCTTGCTATTGTTTGGGGCTTCACCCTGCTGCCGCTGAGCCGGTTGACGGGTCGGTGTCGGCTCCTTGGTGGTCTCCGGGGACTCGAGATTTGGGCACAGCAAGACCAAGGAGTCCGCTATTGCAGCAGTTTGGATGAGTAGTGCAGGTGGCTGGAGGTAGACATGATTGGATTCTAGATCTATCTTTTAAGTCAGGCTGACCAGATTTTCTGATGTGGAAGGTGAGAAAGAGAAGGAATGGTTTTTGGCTTCAGCAGTTGGAAGGATGGATTGCCATCAACTGAGATGGGGAAGTTGGGTGTAGAAGGAATATTCGATATAAAAGCAGAAGTGAGGCTTTGGCCCTTACGAGTTCTGATGTTCTAGAGACCTCTGAATGGAGTTGAGTGGGCGCTAGACCCCAGCCGCGGTGTTTTGGTGAGGTACAGTTAAGGTTATGAGAGACTGAATACACAAGAGGACAAAGGCCAGACCATATATAAAAATGGGATTCTGACCCACAACCTGCAGGGACCTGCCCAGGAAACCAACCTCTTTATCTACAATAAACAACCCAGGAAGCAGCCTGCTTAAATTAGACTTCAGGAAGCCAGATCGCTATCTCTAGTGACAATCCAGGAACAATAATTTCTGTAACAACGGCCCCCAAATGACCAGGGCTTGAATTTTTTAAAATGTTAAATTTTTTTTAAAATTTTTATTTCTGAGAGAGGGAGAGAGACAGCGTGAGCAGGGGAGGGTCAGAGAGAGAGAGGGAGACACAGAATCTGAAGCAGGCTCCAGGCTCTGAGCTAGCCATCAGCACAGAGCCCGACGGGGGGCTCGAACCCACGAACTGTGAGATCATGACCTGAGCTGAAGTCAGACACTTAACTGACTGAGCCACCCAGGCGCCCCTTCCAGGGCTTGATTAATAACTGACAGCTTCTCTAATTTTTGTTCCTGCTTCCACCTTGGGACCAAGGAGAGAAAGCCAAATATGTACCCCTAACCCATCACTAGGATGCCCCACTTCTAGTTAGCCTGCCTACACCTTCCCTGTGCCCACAGCCCCCAATCAGGGCACATCTGAAGCCTTCCCCTTAACTCTGTAAAGCTTTCCCACACCTCTACCTGCCTTCAAGTCTGCCAAACATAAGTGATGGTGGATCTCTCCCTTGCTCAGTATAAATAGCCTTTGCTTTTCTTATTTGGTTGGTTTTTGTTTATTTCCACAGTTAAAACATCTAAAACGTGGCATCTGGTATGTGGTCGATGGTGTGCTTATATGAGCAGTTCAGGAGGGTGAATGAACCTTCAGGTCATGGTTGCAGTGACATTAGAGAGAAAGAGGAAAGTGGGGCCTGAGAACTGAGAACAGGGTTTCTTGCTGGCGCACTATGGTTGGCTTGTTTGGCATCATAAAGACAGACATGGGGACAGCTGGGTGGCTCAGCCAGTTGAGCATACGACTTTGGCTCAGGCCATGATCCCGTGATTTGTGAGCCCCACATGGAGCTTGCTGCTGTCAGCCTGTCAGCGCACAGCCTGCCTGGGATCCTCTGTCCCCCTGTCTCTCCCCCTCCCTGACTTGCACTCTCCCAAAAATAAAGAAATATTTTTTTAAAAAAGAGACATGGAAGAGTAGTGCTCATGGTCGGGGGGGGGGCAGCTGGGGAGGCTGTGTAAGGAGGGGGGAGTCTGGCAGGTGGTATCGACATGGGAGGGATGGGGAGGCTCACTATAATGGAAGTAATATTATAGTGAGTCCTGGGCTGTGCTCATTGACCTCTACATTCCCAGCAGGCCTTTGTAGTGACCCTTGATGGGGCCTCGAGGTTTTCGGTTGGGCTGGGAATTAGCTCAGGGGCAAATGGGGTCAGCTGGGGGAGCCACTAGACCCTGAGTGGGTGAGAACCAGAGTCACAGAGTGTGACTGATGAAGGTACAGGAAGGAGGCCCAAGGGAATCTGATGTCTGTGTGGTTCTGCATGACTTGGATTGAAGCCAGATTGAAGGGCTGAGCAGGGAGACCTTCAAATCAATGGTAGATGTTGCCCTTGGCAGTGGGAGCCACCCACGGGTCTGGATGGGATCATGGTTGTATTTGCTAAGAACTTTCTGGATACCATGTGCAGAGTAACATGTGAGGGTCCATGGAGATGGCTATGATGTGGGCTGGGATGGGGGGAGGGTACAGGGACAATGGGGATACGAAGTGCAGTGCAGGACGTGATGTGCGTATAGGAGTGAGTGTGAGCCGTTGGCCCCCGGGGCCTGGTACTGGGGATTAAGGGAGAAGACTGAGTCCATGTTTGTCTGTATGTGGGAAGCCTGACGTGGGTGGCATGGGAGGGGGCCCACAGCAGGGGGGGTGGGCCCTGCACTTCAGGCCCAGAGCCTAGCTGGTGTCTCCTGCTCACCTGTGTGTGGCTGCTGTGGACTGACAGTGGTCGGGTGAGGCATGAGAAAGGAGCCAGCATCAGTGGAACCAGGGCCTCGGATCTCTTCTGAGTTGGGAAGCTGGGGAGGTGGGGGAGCAGGGGACAGACAGGGAGGCCTGAGGAGAGAAGCTGATCGTGGAATGGACTGTCCCCATCATGGCAGGGCTGTGTGACCTTTGAGGACGTGACCATTTACTTCTCCCAGGAGGAATGGGGGCTCCTTGATGAGGCTCAGAGACTCCTGTACTGCGATGTGATGCTGGAGAACTTTGCACTTGTAGCCTCGCTGGGTAAGGCCTTCACACCCACCTGGTGTCCTGAGCTCGTTTCCGCCTGTCCCCTTTTCCTTCCCATGGCCAGACCCTGAGCACCGCATCCGTCCCCTCTCTCCCAGGATGCGTGCTGCAGTTTCCAGGGCTAAAGTGTGTGCAGTGTCCCCCGCTCTCCCTGAGGGGCTCCAGTACCTGCTGCCCCGAAACCTTGTGGGGAAGGGGCCAGGAGTGAGGAATCTTGCAGGCAGCCCAGTGGGTCCCGGCCAGCTTGCCACTGTCCACCTGGGTGACCGTTTCCTTCAGCTAACGTCTCCTAGGAGTCCTGACTGCTAGGTCCCTGCTGGGACCGCTGGGATGTTCTTGCCATCCCTCCCTCGTAGGTTCTTTTTTGTAATATTTCACTTTCTTTCCTGTGGTCTGTCCTCGGGTAGTTCGTCTGGCTGAGTGCTGGCCACTCACCTGCCCCATCTTTCCCATAGGACTTACATCTTTCAGGTCTCACATAGTTGCCCGGCTGGAGATGGGAGCAGAGCCATGGGTACCTGACAGAGTGGACATGACTTCCGCCATGGCAAGAGGGGTGTACAGTGGGTCTGGCTCTGGTGAGTGGAGGATGGGGGAGCCTGTGACATCAGTATGTCTTCAAATCATAACTGCAGTTTTTCTCGTGCTCGTCATTGTTTGGATGCCAAAGCCAATGGGTATATCTCTCTTCGACCTTTCCTTTCCATTCTTGACACATCTCCCACCTGTCATTTCTGCTGTGACTTGGGGACCCTTGCTAGGCCCCACCTGTCTGCCTCTTCCCGTCTTACTCTTGCCACAGCTTCCTCTGAGACAGTCTCCCACATGGACCTACACTCATTATGTCATGATATATGCATATTCCCTTTAATAGTCCTTAAACACAAGCTACTTGGTTGCCATCAGATTTTCCTGGATCCGGACACACCTTCTGCACAGGGCTCATGTGTTACTAGCAGCCAAGGCCCTGCTGAAAAGCCTTTAAAGGGCGTGAGTTGGAGGGGTGCCCGGGTGGCTCAGTCGGTTGAGTGTCCGACTTCAGCTCAGGTCACGATCTCCCAGCTTGTGAGTATGAGGCCCACATTGGGCCCTGTGCTGACAGCTTCGGGCCTGGAGTCTGCTTCAGATTCTGTGTCTCCCTCTCTGCCCCTATGCTGCTTGCACTCTGTCTCTGTCTCTCAAAAATAAATTAACATTTAAAAATTTTTTTAGAGAATTGAGTTGGACACCCTGCCTTTAGGCCTAATACTTGGCCCCATCCTTGTGTCCTTGGTCCTGTTAAGACCTCCCCTGTTTTGTGACCTTGCCAGACACAGTACTGTTGAGTACACCACTCCTTACCATGACCTCAGGCTTCTCATCTTGCCAGCAATCCCATCAACTCATTCCTGGGTCAGGATGCATTTGTCATGGGGCTGCCTCCTTCCAGTGGAGTTCCTGTTAAATTCACCAGCATTTCTCTGTTTTCAGATTTTTGCTCTGGAACGGGTGGTGAGCATAGCGCATCAGTAGAAGGAGTGCCACATGACCGGAATCTCAGTAGTTCTGAGCAGGACTACTCCTGTGACATGTGTGGCCTACACTTGAAAGACATTTTGGCCCTGGCTGAACATCGTGCAGCACATCCCAGGCAGAAGCCATACGTCTGTGAGGCATATAGGAGGGAGTTCAATTCTAATGCAAACGATTACCAGCATCAGATGCAGCAGAATGTAGACACACCTATCAGAAGGGAGGAGGACAGGGCCTCACTCATGAAGAGCTGCAGAGATGACGCATCAAAGAAACCTTGCACAGTCAGGGAGGGTGGAAAGGACTTTGTGGACGGGAAGGCCAGATCCGGCTTTCTGCAGCATCAGGTCACTCACAGAGTGGAGGAACCACCCCAGGACACTGGCGTGGGGGATAGTCACACTGTGCAAAGCCATAACAAGTGCAGTGAGTCTAGGAACGCTTTCGGTGACAAACCCACGCTTGCTCAGCACCAGACAACGCACACTGGAGAAAGGCCTTATGAGTGCAACAAATGTGGGATATTCTTTAGCCATGCCTCTGGCCTCTTTCAACACCAGAGAGATCACAATAGAGGAAAGCCTTATGAGTGCCGGGAATGTGGGAAGTTCTTCAGTCAACACTCCAGTCTCGTTAAACATCAGAGAGTTCACACCGGAGAAAGCCCCCATGTGTGCAGCGAATGTGGGAAACTCTTTAGCCAAAGCTCCAACCTCATTCAACATAAGAGAGTTCACACTGGAGAGAAGCCTTATGAGTGCAGCGAATGTGGGAAATTCTTCAGCCTGCGCTCCAGCCTCATTCATCATAAGAGGGTTCATACTGGCAGAAGTGCTCATGAGTGTAACGAGTGTGGGAAATCTTTCAACTGCAACTCCAGCCTCATTAAACATTGGAGGGTTCACACTGGAGAAAGACCTTATAAGTGCAATGAATGTGGGAAATTTTTCAGCCACATTGCCAGTCTTATCCAACATCAGATAGTCCACACTGGTGAACGGCCTTACGGGTGCAGTGAATGTGGGAAAGCCTTCAGCCGAAGCTCTGACCTCATGAAGCATCAAAGAGTTCACACTGGGGAACGGCCTTATGAGTGCAGTGAATGTGGGAAATTGTTTAGCCAGAGCTCTAGCCTTAGTAGCCATAGGAGACTTCATACTGGCGAACGGCCTTATCAGTGCCCCGAATGTGGGAAATTCTTTAACCAAAGCTCCAGCCTCAATAACCATCGGAGACTTCACACCGGTGAGAGGCCTTATGAGTGCCTTGAATGTGGGAAAACCTTCAGGCAAAGGTCTAATCTGAGGCAGCACCAGAAGGTTCACAAACCAGACCGGCCGTATAAGTGCAGTGAATGTGGAAAAGCCTTCAGCCAGAGGCCTACCCTTGTCCGGCATCAAAAAATTCACATTAGAAAAAGGAGTGCAGAGAATGTGCTTCCACCTCCAGCAAAGCCATGTGCATTGTCGATAAGTCTTGAAGGCAGAGGCTGAACCTTGTTCATCCCAATGTTCACACTGGGCAGATTCCCTGTGAATGCTAGTTATGTTGGAAGGTTTCTGGAACAAAGTTGCATTTTCTCACCATGGACTTTACTAGACTTTGTCACTGTGAGTATTTGTGGTAGAAGCCATTTCAGCTCTCTCCATTGACCGGTCTCCAAGAGTGTGTCTCAACCAGTCCCTGTGTTCAGACCTCATCTTGTTCCAAGAGGGAATCCTGGGTAGCCTGAGGCCAAAGGAAGATGTCATTCCCTCCCTCTGTGACTAGTGTAGCTATGGACATGACCCATCTTTGACCAGGAAGACCTGAGCTATGTTCTGCTGCAGCTTGCAGAAGGCTTCCCTGTTTTCAAGGACGTGGTTGATCTCCGTGATGCTCATGATGGATTTATCCATACTTCACATTACCCATCCCAACAACTACCTAGTTTTCATTGCCTTATTGATAAAGCCACCTTTAATCTAATGTGTTTAATCACTGTGAAGTGAGTTGAGAACACAGTTAAGGTCTTCCAAACTAAAAGGGTCTCCAAACATATTGCCTCAGAGGGGACAGCAGGTTGGTGGAGAACAGCTCTCGGTCCAGATTTGGCCTCCTTTATAAGTTGCTATGCAAGGCCTCCTGGGGAACATCGTAGGACTTTGTGGGACAAATGTGATCTGAATGGCATGAAGTTTTGTGAACCAGAGATTACCCTGAGGGTGGGACAGGTGTGATAGCCTCCATTGCATCTGGGAGCTGCATGAATAGGGTCCCATGTTTCCAGAGGATGCCTCACTTTCCCTAGTACTGTTGAGCAGACACTGTTTACTGGGCACCTGCCAAGGAGCCATATGCCTTGAAGTCTAGCATCTGGTATACTGGTGTCCTAACTAAGTCTTACTGGACCCAGTTGAGACCACTATTTGTATGGGAGCGCTGGAGGGGTGATATTAGAGTAGGTGAGGTTGTAGCAAACTAGAGGTAATGTACCTGTTCTAAAAGTGCATCCACAGATTTTCCCTTGAATGTGGCTGTGCAGGATTCAGCCTTTGTAGAAATTCTCAGGACCACCAGACCTCTGTCCTATGACGTAGACCACCTGCAGAGCAAAAATCTAAAGGTTTTGTGGGTACTAAGACTCTCTGCACCATTCACGCCACAGCCATTGCTGCATTGGCAAGAAAATGGGGGCTGAGAGAAGGTAGATCTTGTACTCCAGGTATGTAGCATTTGTGACATAGGCAGCCATTTTTGCTGCCAAAGTGAGAGAGAGAGACAGAGTCAGAGTGAATAGAAGGTTGCTAAATCTTCTAATTTTCTAAAATGAATGATAGATCAGATTTTTATGTGCAACAATTTCTTTAAATGCTTTATTGAAACATAATTGTCATATAACAGTTATATATATTTGATGTGCACAATTTCTTCAGTTTTTCAGTATGTGTACACTCAGGGAACCAACACCATAATCATGATAATGAACCCATCCATCACCCACAAAGCTACCTCGTGCCCTTTACTATCCCTCCTTGCCTTCCCAGAAAACCATAAATGTACCCTTTCTTTTTTTCAACATAGATTTGTTGGCCTTTCTTAGAATTTTATACAACTTGAATCATAAAGTATTTATACCCTATATTTGGTCTGCTTTCCTTCACAGCATAATTATCTTGAGAATTATCCATGCTGTATGTATGAGTAGTTCATTCCTTTTGCTACTGAGTAGTATTCTGTTGAGTGAATCCATCATAATTTTTCATGCTTTATTTTCTTAATTAAAAAATATATGGTAAAATGCACATAACATAAAACTTACAGTCGTAACTATCTTTAAGTGCACAGTTCAGGGGTATTAAGAACATATTATTAATCACCACCGTTCACATCCTGAGCTCTTTTCATGTGGTAAAACTGAAAGTCTGTACCCCTTAAACAATAATGCCAATGTTCCCTCTCCCCTGAGCCCCTGGATACCTCCATTCTACTTTCTGTCTCTGTGAAATTTATTCCAGATGCCTCATATAAACGAATTGTGCAGCATATGTCTGTTTGTGACTGGTTTATTTCACTTAGCATAATGTCCTGAAGGTTCATCCATGTTTTATAGCACATGTCAGAATTTCCTTTCTTTTTAAGGCTGTATAATAATTGAATTTCTATGTCATAGTTTGCTTATTGATTAATATTTCAGTGGATATTTCATTTACTTCCACCTTTTGGGCATTGTGAATTATGCAGCTATGAACAAAGGTGTACAAATACCTCTTTGAGACCTTGCTTTCTATTCTTTTGGATATATACCCTGAAGTGGAAACACTAGATCATATGGTAATATTATATATATATATACACATATATATGTATATATATATATCTTAAAGTAACTTTATTTTTTTTTAAATATTTTTATTTATTTCTATGAGAGAGAGAGAGAGAGAGAGAGACAGCATTAGCAGGGGAGGGTCAGAGAGAGAGGGAGATACAGACTCTGAAATAGGCTCCAGGCTCTGAACTGGCAGTCAGCACAGAGCCCCACGTGGTGCTTGAACCCACGAACCGCGAGATCATGACCTTAGCTTAAGTTGGATGCTTAATTGACTTATCCACCCAGGCGCCCTTATATTTTTTTATTTTTGAAGAGCCTCCAAACTGTTTTCCACAGTTCCCTTAACATTGTACATTCCTACCATCTGTATACATGGGTTCTAATTTTTCCACGTCCTCACCAACACTTTTTTCTTAAAAATATATTTTTACAAAATTTCTGAATAGTATCTATCTTGATAGATGTGGTTTCATGTTTTTATCATGAAAGAGTGTTGGATTTTGTAAAATGTTTTTTGTATCAATTGAGAGGGTCATATGTTCTTTCCTTTATTCTGTTAATGTGGTGTATTACACTGTTTGCTTTTCATATGAACTATCCTTGCATTCCAGGAATAAATCCCACTCATAGTTGGTGTATAATCCTTTCAGTATGCTGTTAAGCTCTGTTTGCTAGTATTTTGTTAAAGATATTTACATCAGTGTTCATAAGGGATATTGGTCTATACATTTCTTGTATCATTTTCTGGCTTTGACATCAGGGCAAATAAATTAGGAATTGTTCTCCAAGTTTTTGAAAATTTTTAACAAAGATCACTGCTATTTCTTTAATATGTAAAATTCACCAATAAACTTACTGGGTCAGAGGTTGATTTGTTGTGGGGAGGTTTTTAGTTGTTCATTCATTTTACTTACTACTTACAAGTTTATTCAGATATTCTCTTCATGATTCAGTCCTGATAGGATTGGTGTTTTTAGGGATTGGTCTATTTTATCTCAGTTCCATTTTGTGTGTGCGTGTGTGTGTATGTGTGTATACTTGTTCATAGTAGTCTTGTAATCCTTTTTATTTCTGTAGAATTGGTAGTAATCTCCCCACTTTTATTTCTGATTTTAGTAGTTTGAGTCGTTTCTCTTTTCTAGTCACTCTAGCTAAAGGTTTGTCAATTTTGTTAATCTTTTTGAAGAACCATCTTCTGGTTTTGTTGATTTTTCCGTAGTATATTTCTATTCTCTCTTTCTCTTTAATCTCTAATCTTTGCTATTTTTTTCTTTTGTCTAGCTCTTGGTTTAGTTTGTTCTTTTCAGGTTCTTTAAATTGTAAAGTTAGATTATTGATTTGAGATCTTTCTTGTATAATGTAAGCTTCCTTTGTACTACTTTTGCCACATCTCATAAGTTTTGGTATGTTGTGTTTTTGTTTTCTTTCATCTCTGAGTATTTTCTCTAAGATTGCTTGTGATTTCTCCTCTGTTCCATTGATTAAGTGTATGCTGTTTAATTTCCACAAATTTATGGATTTTCTGGTTTGCCTCTTATCAATTTCTAACTTCATCCTGTTGAGGTTGGAGAAAATACTTTGCATAATATCTATCTTTTAAAATCTAATGAGCCTTAATTTGTGGCCTAACATGGAAATATCCCATGTGTACTTGAGAACAATGTGTTTTCTGTTGTTGTTGGTTAGAGTATTTTGTAAATTTCCATTAAATCTGATTGGTTTTTTGTGTTGTTCAAGACCTTTATTTCCTTATTGACTTTTTGTATATTTCTGAAAGTGGGGTACTGAAGTCTCCAACTATTGTAAAAATTCATTTCTTCCTATCAATTTTTGCTTTATAATATGTTTTCTTGTTCTGTTATTAGTTTCACAAATGTTTATAATTCTGCCGTCTTGGTGTATAGAACCTTTTAATTAGAATATAAAAATGTCTAAATTTGTCTCAAAGCTTTTTTAAAAGCCTATTTTATCTGGTATATATATATTATATATATAATATACCAACCCTTAGTCTAATTGCTTATTATTTGGATGGAATATGTTTTTCCATCCTTTCACTTTCAACCTACTTGTGTCTTTGGCTGTAAAGTTGGTTTCTGTGGACAGAATATAGTTGGAATTTTAAAATTATTTTTTAATGTTTACTTTTTTTACTTTTTTACTTTTTTATTTTTAATTAGTTTTTTAATGTTTACTTTTGAGAGAGAGAGACAGAGACAGAAAGCGAGGAGGGGCAGAGAGCCAGATGTGGGGCTTGAACTCATGAACTGTGACATCATGACCTGAGCCACCCAGGCGCCCCTAGTTGGAACATTTTTAAACATCCATTCTGTCAATCTCTGTATTTTGATTGGAGAGTTTAATCCACTTACACTTAAAGCAACTACTGATAAGGAGGGACTAACTTGTGTCATTTTGCTATGTGTTTTCTATATGGCTTTTTGGTCTCCATTTCCTATATTACTTCTTTCGATTTTGATTGTTTTAATGTAAAATGATTTAAGTCCCTTCTCCTTTCCTTTTCTGTATATTCTATAGCTATTTTCTTTGTGATTACATGGAGATTATGTTCAACATCCTAAAACTATTAACACTCGAATTTGAATTTATATTAGCCTAATTTCAATACCATACAAAAAGTCTGCTCCTATGCAGTTCTATCTCCAATCCTTTCAGTTATTGATATCACAGAATTACATCTTTATACATTTCAGGTCCAAAATATATGATAATAATGGCTTTTAAAGAATGCATTCACTTTTTAAATCATGTAGAAATTAAAAAATGAAGTTATAAACCAAAGTTACAATAATAGTAGTTTTTAAAATTGCCCATGTATTTACCTTTACAAGTTATTTTTCTGCCTTCCTATGGAGTACAGTTATTCCAATGTCCTTTGATTTCAAGGGGAACGACTCCCTTTAGTCGTTTGTGCTGGGCAGGTCTAGTGATAAACTTCTTTGATTTCATTTATCTGGAAATTAAATTCTCCCTTATTTTTGAAAGACAGTTTTGGCAGATACATGATTCTTCTTTAACATTTTTCTTTTCTTTCAGCACTTTGAACATACCAGCCCAGCCGTTTTCTGGCTTCTAAGGATTTTCTTTCTTTCTTTTTTTTTTAATTTTTA